AAAGAACAATTATTAGGAATTGCTTTATCAGATGGAATTGTGCGATCAAAAAGATCAATGTTAGCATCTATAAATTCGACAGAAGTTGATCGTTGGTATGAATTCTATTTTCACCAACAATTTAATCATGATATTTTCACGTATGTTCAATCAAAGTTAGATAATTATAAAGCTACAGAAGAAAAACAAGGATTTAAAGTGATTATTAATACATTTTCAAACATAAATGCTGATATAAGTTCTTATTTGAACGAACAGATTAATAACACAGATCATACACAAAATCACCTTCAACTTTGGCAGCGTAATGTCACAAATTTTTTATCACTATCTAATAAATTATCGAGCTCCTTTGATAACCCGACATTACTTAAACTACGCGTATATAATGATTTATCCAAATCTCTTCCTTTCACGAAACTTATTGAAATCAGAAATTTCGAACAGGAATTAGAAAACGATGACATGTTTTCTGAACCATTTATAGATTTGTATTTGAAAAATTGAATGAATTGGAGCAAACAGAACAAAATCTGTCAACTAGAAGATCTTTTGTATACAGGTGTTTAGGAGTGCTCCAACATGATTCGCCCGTTCGTCTTCATCTCTACATGAAAATTTTTTCCCAAGACCCATTGCCTTTAACATTCGTCACTATTTACAACATATTCTATATTGAAAGTTTTGAGAACGATGATCTATTCTTTAATTTGATTAATAAACCACTCGAAGTATTGGAAAATTCAGAACAACTACAAGCTATTGAAGATGTATTGTCTAAACAAATAGATTCATCAATGGAAGCATTATGTTGCGATGTAATTCAAACAAAATTTTTTGTGATTTGCGAGTTTAATCAACTTGCGAAATATTATTTGAAAGCAACAGAAATTCTGATTACAAATGATGTTAAAGCATTGCAACTTATCTCTGCGATTGCGCTTTTAAAAACTTTTGCAAATAAACTTTGGAATTCTGCTGTAAAATCAATTTCTTTAACTGATCAAATAGAATTTAAGTTTGAAGCTGATAAATTTAATATTGATTATTTGAACAATCGATTGGTATTAGATCAACCATTGATTCATTCGTTCAAGGTTTATTTGTTGAAGTCATTACGGTTAAAAGGATTATCTATCAATGATATAAATCAATTTTGTGAAACGCAACAGCAACTGCTCCCATGGCTTGGCGCATTGCTGTGGGATGGTCATGATAGCCGTCTTGATTTTAATCCATATTGGTGCCTTGAACATTACAAACAAGTTGAATTGGCATCAAATAAAATCATCATAGGAGATAAATCACATTTGAATGAAATATTACATGAAATTTCAGATCCAAACGTAAATGATGTGATTGCAAAAAAAGTTTCTTTTGCAGGGATGATCATAACAAAGTTCTATCTTATTCAAGCTTCTCGTGAATTGAAACAGTCAGAAAACTATTTGTCTCATCAGATTATTGAATGCTTGAATTCATCACAGCTTCCTGCCGTTTACAAAAATAATCTTCTTAATTTCTTATCAAATAAGTATCCATTTCGTAAGATTACTACTAATGATGATAATACTAAATTGCTTATATCTTCGGTTGTTGCGCATGTTGTGGCACTGCATATTTCAATTCCCGCCAATGCTTCTCCATTGGCTGCATACATGCAAAATTTATCGAATTACAAGGATGCTTTTATATTGACATGTCCATCAGATGAACAATCAGTAATACTTAATTTATTGATTGCTGAGACATTGCAAGATCCAGATTACAAATATAAAGGGTTGACAAGGTATAATATTTCTTATATTCTTGACTAACTTCGCGTAAACCAGTTGCTTTGATAATTAATACATAAATATATTGTATTTATTAGATATGCATGTCCTTGTGGATATATTTATGTAGTTGTTGATTGTGGTAATGTAAAAGATGAAAGTAATTGTCCTAATTGTAAAAAAATGATTGGTGCCGTAAATGGAGAATATGGTAAAGCTGCTCAAGGAACTATTCGTCTGGATGAGAATCCATTAACTCAAGCAGCCAATGCACACGATGAGCCTGGATATATTATAGAAACGCGAAAAACTGAAGATTACTATAGTGTCCGATCAATGTCTCCGACTGCTTATAGAATCCTTCATTTATTTGTGCATGCAATAATTGGTATACAAGCACCTTCAGATGTTGTCACAAACTTTGTTACAAATAAAAAGAATGTAAATGACATTGGTGATATAATAAATTATTGTGATAGACATATAAATAATGATTGGGAAGCGTTGAAAAATATTTTGGCTTGTGGAGACGAACATTTGTCATTGGTTATTCATTCCATTCTTTCAGAGATGTCACAAGAGCCCCTTCAGATAATCGAAAAATTCACGACACCCCTTCAGAGAGAAGCTTGGGAAGCGCAATTTAGCCAGCGGTATGTTTCTCCAAAAATAAAAAATGTCATTGGGACTGCTACTGATTTTCGCATGGTGATGTCTACAAACACTCCGAAAATTGAAGCTGAAATTAACGAAATGGTTGTAGTCAATGACAAATATTGTAAGGACCACTTACCACGCTTATGGCGCTTAATTGGAGAGACAAGTATGAATAGTTTTAGAGCCTATTATTCATGTAACGAAGAATATGTCAAGTCTTTCCCATTATTAAATGTCTTTTTAAGGCACGAAAAGTACTTATCACTTATTAAGCATGTTTTGCCCATCGTGAAATTTACACAAATCTTGTCATCATGTCTTTCATATCGTATTGAAAGGCAAGACGCGCGGAAATTAACCTTTCGACAGTTCATTATAAATGAAAGTGAAGGTGATGATACTGGAGAAACTATGAAGTCATTAAATGAAGCATTCAACAGTTTTGCTGAATCGTGGAATACTTTGGCTCCACATATTAAACGATATGACTGTACCGAGCTACCAAAGGCAATGCCAATAATAAATGATAATTCTATTGTTACGTATGGATTGTTGGAGCCACTTAATGAATCTATATTTATATGCGCTACAATAGATTTTGTTGTTAAATTGCAAAATAATTTTCTCAAAGATATTTTAGTGATTCCTCCAGGAACTTGTAAATCTTTAAAATTTTTGGAGTGCTGCTACGCAGCACTTGGTGTGAGATTGGACATAGCTGCCGCACCAATTTTGTCACGGATGATTCTCGATTTTGATTGGCTAACGGCCGTGATCTACAAA